TATTGTTGTGGTTGTTGTTATTGTGGTTGTTGTTGTGGTTGTTGTTAACCTTCGTTATTAAACACGGTAATAGTAGTAGTAGTCATAATGTAGACCCGCTTTAAACAACGGATGCACGGCGGATGTAGTAACATTGACACTAACCACGTTAGTGCAGTAACATTGCCAGTGACTACATTAGTGTAGTAACATTGCCAGTGACTACGTTAGTGTAGTAACATTGCCCTACGTTAGTGTAGTAACATTGCCACTAACCACGTTAGTGCAGTAACATTGCCAGTAGCTACGTTAGTGTAGTAACATTGCCAGTGACTACGTTAGTGCAGTAACATTGCCCTACGTTAGTGTAGTAACATTGCCACTAACCACGTTAGTGTAGTACCATTGCCAGTGACTACGTTAGTGTAGTAACATTGCCAGTGACTACGTTAGTGTAGTAACATTGCCACTAACCACGTTAGTGCAGTAACATTGCCAGTGACTACGTTAGTGTAGTAACATTGCCAGTGACTACGTTAGTGCAGTAACATTGCCAGTGACTACGTTAGTGCAGTAACATTGCCAGTGACTACGTTAGTGCAGTAACATTGCCAGTGACTACGTTAGTGCAGTAACATTGCCAGTGACTACGTTAGTGTAGTAACATTGCCAGTGACTACGTTAGTGCAGTAACATTGCCAGTGACTACGTTAGTGCAGTAACATTGCCCTACGTTAGTGTAGTAACATTGCCACTAACCACGTTAGTGTAGTAACATTGCCAGTGACTACGTTAGTGTAGTAATATTGCCACTAACCACGTTAGTGTAGTAACATTGCCAGTGACTACGTTAGTGTAGTAACATTGCCACTAACCACGTTATTGTAGTAACATTGCCAGTGACTACGTTAGTGCAGTAACATTGCCAGTAGCTACGTTAGTGTAGTAACATTGCCACTAACCACGTTAGTGTAGTAACATTGCCAGTGACTACGTTAGTGTAGTAACATTGCCAGTGACTACGTTAGTGCAGTAACATTGCCAGTGACTACGTTAGTGCAGTAACATTGCCAGTGACTGCGTTAGTGTAGTAACATTGCCAGTGACTATGTTAGTGTAGTAACATTGCCAGTGACTACGTTAGTGCAGTAACATTGCCAGTGACTACGTTAGTGCAGTAACATTGCCAGTGACTACGTTAGTGTAGTAACATTGCCAGTGACTACGTTAGTGCAGTAACATTGCCAGTGACTACGTTAGTGCAGTAACATTGCCAGTGACTACGTTAGTGCAGTAACATTGCCAGTGACTACGTTAGTGCAGTAACATTGCCAGTGACTACGTTAGTGTAGTAACATTGCCAGTGACTACGTTAGTGTAGTAACATTGCCAGTGACTACGTTAGTGCAGTAACATTGCCAGTGACTACGTTAGTGTAGTAACATTGCCAGTGACTACGTTAGTGCAGTAACATTGCCAGTGACTACGTTAGTGCAGTAACATTGCCAGTGAATACGTTAGTGCAGTAACATTGCCAGTGACTACGTTAGTGTAGTAACATTGCCAGTGACTGTTAGTGTAGTAACATTGCCAGTGACTACGTTAGTGTAGTAACATTGCCACTAACCACGTTAGTGTAGTAACATTGCCAGTGACTACGTTAGTGCAGTAACATTGCCAGTAACTACGTTAGTGCAGTAACATTGCCAGTAACTACGTTAGTGCAGTAACATTGTCAGTGACTACGTTAGTGTAGTAACATTGCCAGTGACTACGTTAGTGCAGTAACATTGCCAGTGACTACGTTAGTGCAGTAACATTGCCAGTGACTACGTTAGTGCAGTAACATTACCAGTGACTACGTTAGTGTAGTAACATTGCCAGTGACTACGTTAGTGCAGTAACATTGCCAGTGACTGCGTTAGTGCAGTAACATTGCCAGTGACTACGTTAGTGTAGTAACATTGCCAGTGACTACGTTAGTGCAGTAACATTGCCAGTGACTGTTAGTGCGGTAACATTGCCAGTGACTGTTAGTGCGGTAACATTGCCAGTGACTACGTTAGTGTAGTAACATTGCCAGTGACTGTTAGTGTAGTAACATTGCCAGTGACTACGTTAGTGTAGTAACATTGCCACTAACCACGTTAGTGTAGTAACATTGCCAGTGACTACGTTAGTGCAGTAACATTGCCAGTGACTACGTTAGTGCAGTAACATTGCCAGTAACTACGTTAGTGCAGTAACATTGCCAGTAACTACGTTAGTGCAGTAACATTGCCAGTGACTACGTTAGTGTAGTAACATTGCCAGTGACTACGTTAGTGCAGTAACATTGCCAGTGACTACATTAGTGCAGTAACATTGCCAGTGACTACGTTAGTGCAGTAACATTACCAGTGACTACGTTAGTGTAGTAACATTGCCAGTGACTACGTTAGTGCAGTAACATTGCCAGTGACTGCGTTAGTGCAGTAACATTGCCAGTGACTACGTTAGTGTAGTAACATTGCCAGTGACTACGTTAGTGCAGTAACATTGCCAGTGACTGTTAGTGCGGTAACATTGCCAGTGACTGTTAGTGCGGTAACATTGCCAGTGACTACGTTAGTGTAGTAACATTTCCAGTGACTACGTTAGTGCAGTAACATTGCCAGTGACTACGTTAGTGTAGTAACATTGCCAGTGACTACGTTAGTGCAGTAACATTACCAGTGACTACGTTAGTGCAGTAACATTACCAGTGACTACGTTAGTGCAGTAACATTGCCAGTGACTACGTTAGTATAGTAACATTGCCACTAACCACGTTAGTGTAGTAACATTGCCAGTGACTATGTTAGTGTAGTAACATTGCCAGTGACTATGTTAGTGTAGTAACATTGCCACTAACCACGTTAGTGTAGTAACATTGCCAGTGACTACGTTAGTGTAGTAACATTGCCAGTGACTATGTTAGTGTAGTAACATTGCCAGTGACTACGTTAGTGCAGTAACATTGCCAGTGACTACGTTAGTGTAGTAACATTGCCAGTGACTCCGTTAGTGTAGTAACATTGCCAGTGACTACGTTAGTGCAGTAACATTGCCAGTAACTACGTTAGTGCAGTAACATTGCCAGTGACTACGTTAGTGCAGTAACATTGCCAGTGACTACGTTAGTGTAGTAACATTGCCAGTGACTACGTTAGTGCAGTAACATTGCCAGTAACTACGTTAGTGCAGTAACATTGCCAGTGACTACGTTAGTGCAGTGACATTGCCAGTGACTATGTTAGTGCAGTAACTTTGCCAGTGACTGTTAGTGCAGTAACATTGCCAGTGACTACGTTAGTGTAGTAACATTGCCAGTGACTACGTTAGTGCAGTAACATTGCCAGTGACTACGTTAGTGTAGTAACATTGCCAGTGACTACGTTAGTGCAGTAACATTACCAGTGACTACGTTACTGCAGTAACATTGCCAGTGACTACGTTAGTGTAGTAACATTGCCACTAACCACGTTAGTGTAGTAACATTGCCAGTGACTACGTTAGTGTAGTAACATTGCCAGTGACTATGTTAGTGTAGTAACATTGCCAGTGACTACGTTAGTGTAGTAACATTGCCAGTGACTACGTTAGTGTAGTAACATTGCCAGTGACTACGTTAGTGCAGTAACATTACCAGTGACTACGTTAGTGCAGTAACATTGCCAGTGACTACGTTAGTGCAGTAACAATGCCAGTCACTACGTTAGTGTAGTAACATTGCCAGTGACTATGTTAGTGTAGTAACATTGCCAGTGACTACGTTAGTGCAGTAACATTGCCAGTGACTACGTTAGTGTAGTAACATTGCCAGTGACTATGTTAGTGCAGTAACATTGCCAGTGACTACGTTAGTGTTGTAACATTGCCACTAACCACGTGAGTGCAGTAACATTGCCAGTGACTACGTTAGTGCAGTAACATTGCCAGTGACTACGTTAGTGCAGTAACATTGCCAGTGACCACGTTAGTGCAGTAACATTGCCAGTGACCACGTTAGTGCAGTAACATTGCCAGTGACTACGTTAGAGTAGTAACATTGCCAGTAACTACGTTAGTGCAGTAACATTGCCAGTGACTACGTTAGTGCAGTAACATTGCCAGTGACTACGTTAGTGCAGTAACATTGCCAGTGACTACGTTAGTGCAGTAACATTGCCACTAACCACGTTAGTGTAGTAACATTGCCAGTAACTACGTTAGTGCAGTAACATTGCCACTAACCACGTTAGTGTAGTAACATTGCCACTAACCACGTTAGTGTAGTAACATTGCCACTAACCACGTTAGTGCAGTAACATTGCCAGTGACTACGTTAGTGCAGTAACATTGCCACTAACCACGTTAGTGCAGTAACATTGCCAGTGACTACGTTAGTGCAGTAACATTGCCCGTAACTCGTATCGAAGCAATAATCGTGATTGTATTACCGTACTGTACTGTATTACTATCGCATTCCTGTGTTATTGGTTTGGAGAGAGGGAGGCCTTTGTGCAGCAGTGGATTAATCATAGTTTGCAATGTGAATAATAAGTGTAACACTCATCAGTTTTGTATGATTCACTTGATTAACAGTGCTTTAGGGGCCGTCCATAAATGACGTCACCCACCTATGGGGGGGAGGGGGTCAGACATTTGTGACGATGTGTGACGAGGGGGGGGGGTTTGAGAAATGTGACGTCACATCAAAATGCGCAAAATAAATAAATAGACAACACGTTCTACTTAATTAAATATACTTTTTATAAATGTTTTATCCTACAACATCAGAGTGCAGCGCCACATTAAATACGCACCACAATGGCAATAGTTTAAAGCGATTTGAAGCATGTTTTAATTTTTTGGGGGGTGGGGGCAGAGCTTTGTGACGTCATATTTGTGGGGGGGGGGGTCTGACTTTTTGTGACGCCGTGTGACGAAGGGGGGGGGGGGGTCAAAAATCGTGCAAAATCGCGTGACGTCATTTATGGACGGCCCCTTAGTGCTCAGTGTTGTATTCGCGCTGTGTGGCTACGGGGGGTTGCTGGTGGAGCGGTGGCGCTGCGTGCTTCACGCCCTGCGCTATCCACCCGAGTTCGATTCCCGACCACTGCGAATTTCAGTGGAGTGACATCTGAAATGGTCCTGCGCCCCGCCCGCCCCACCACGAACCTACACTGACCAGCGTGACGACAGACATATGGTCGTCAACACAAAGACAAGACAAAGATTCCCCGTATGGAATTTAAAACAGACTTTTGGGGCAAGTGCTGTCGGTGAGCTCCTAATAAAGGGCAGGCGCACACCACGCGCGCAAAGCGGCGGGGTGGCCAAACGCCACCGCGCCGTGGCGATGTTTACATGCCCACACCAGGTTCTCGTTGAAGGTTGAGTCGACCTAAGGGAGACCCACGACCGGTTTAAATATTCGCCAGATATTGGTGGTGAGCGGAAACCGAACTCGGCAGTGCCCCCTGACCATTCTACTACCGCGAGAGTAATGGTCAAACAACCCCCGTGATCAGCACAGAGTGGGGAGGTCTTCATCCAGAAGTGTTTTGGCAAAGCGTTATACATTATACATCATAAGTGTGTTTTTTGGGTTGGATCGCGTAAATATAAACATCTCGTTAAACCCGCCAGCACTAGCCAATTGGTAATGTTTGTCACGCTAACAAAACTACCCAATTACACCATTGGAACCTCCTTTGCCAGTAGCAAAATATGATAATTGGTTTTTTACCCCTTTATCTGGCAACAAAACTGACACCTTTTTTACAAGGAGTCATGTTTGCATTGACCACAATACCTGCAGTTGGAATGCAAACAAAAAACAACTCTGATAATGTATGCACTGTCCTTGATATTGATTGGTCCACACCCGAGACGGCTTTCCTTAGAGCCTAGTCTCACATGGTGTTGGACCAGATGACACCAAAAGGCACACAACTCAAAGACAATGCACCGCACCATCAGAGTATTTGTTGCCAGATAAAAGGGTAAAAAACCAATTATCAACTTCCCAATTAGTTACTACTTCAGCACACCTGTGTGTTGGAGAGTACACCCACATCGTTTACGGAGTGTTTCGCTGGTGATTGCAAACAGCTTCATCGGGCGTGTAGCCAGAATTGTGAAGGAGTTCTGTTTCGGTCTTAAACAGAGTTAAGGTGATGTCGTCGCAGTGAGCCTGTCAGGAGCAACGATCAAAGGAGGGTTAATGTCATTTACATTGCAAGGGATCATGCTAATCTGAGAATATGCAGTACCTATTATTGGGTGGGTTATTCACAGTTAACCAACATACAGTGAAATGCTTTTATGTTTAGTTTGTTGTCCCACCCCTTACCTCCAATTTGCATTAACTACACGTTCATATTTACGTGCTCTTACCCAAAATGTTACAGATAACATTGGTCGTGAGTGCCTCCTACGTGTTAAACTGACATTGTAAATGACTCGTTATTGAAGATGTCGCGTCCGTTGCGTTTGCGCAGTGATGGCTGGACATGGACACGGACACGGCCACGGTGGTGGGCACTGCGAGGCGGAGAGCCACGAGGAGGACGCGGAGAGAGGCGTGCAGTACGGACTCTTCCTGAAGATCGACCGTGACCGGCTCGAATGCCTCAACGAGCAGATTGACGGCTCGGGGAAGCAGGTCTTCCGGCCCTGGGATGAGCGCAACGACCGGAGCAGAGTAGGCGATGCTCGGACACAACTCGGCGCTTTTGTTTGTACGACTGTGAAAGCTGCATTGTAACCGTAGTCGCCTGGCTCATGTTTCGTATGAAGAATGTGTGTGTTGAACTTCTTTCGTATACAACCACGCTAATCGGAGGTGATCGTGAGAACTGCATTGCAACGCAGCCTGGCCCATGCTGTGTGTGAAGGCAAAAGCTGTATTACATCCTAGCCGAGCTTATGCTGTGTATGATTAGGAAAATAATGTATATTTGAAAGTAGATATGTTTTGTCAATCCACTGCTGGATGAGGGCCTCCCCACACTGTGTAGGTTGTGGCAGTTATGTTACGATACCTCACGCTCATCCATGTGGGTCGGTGAGGGTGCTAAGACTGCATGGGAGTACAAACTTCACTGCCCTCTGCTTGCCACAACATGACCATGCGGCGCCCGTAACAACTTACTATGCACGGTGGTCACCCATACAAGCACTCTCCAGGCTCTCAACCCTGGTTGGGTTGGATTCTGAGATTTGATGAGAAGGGCCACAATATGTGTGATTTGGTCAAAGGAAAGAGTACATTATTTTCAGTTATAGATATTTTGTGTTTTGTTCGCCATACAATACTGTTTGTCATACTACCAAAAGGAAATTGTGACGCAATGGTAATCACTGCAGTTATCAAGTAATAACAACACGTCATTTTTATTTCACTTTAGTTTGTTGAAAGTGATGCGGATGAGGAGCTGCTATTCAACATCCCGTAAGTAAGGAGGTCTGTTTCGATTACATTCACCTCCATTTTGGTTTGTTATCCAGCCCCCCACCCCCACCCCTCTAAATGACATTCTAACTTTGCTCTCTGCACTGAGCCATGAGATGAAGACATTTCAAGCTGGAAAATACTTACGTTCATGCCAAGTATATGCAAATAACGCTCCTGTTCTGCTTGGGCTAATGTGGTGAACACCACTATCCTGTACAAAGGAGACGCAACACTTGCAAACTATAAAAATCGGATGGTAAAACCTGAATACAAATTACGACCCTGAAACGTAATAATTTATCCAATCGCTCCATTAATTGCTGACATGGTTTTAGCCCGCCCCGAGCCAGCCATCCAATTCCTTCACCCGTCTCCCTTAGACCCCCTCCCCCCCCTTGTCTTGTGTTGATTTACCATCAGTGTTGTACACTCCACCGACTTTACCATACCGCACTCCGCCCATCTGTTGCTGCTGCTGCTGCTGCCGCCCAGGTTCACCGGGAATGTGAAGCTGAAGGGAATTGTGCTGATCGGGGGAGAAGATGAGTCTCACCCTGCGGAGATGAGACTGTAAGGCACTTGGCATGCGCATCGCGTTTCCTTAGCTGCAGTGCCTGGGTATAAAGGCAGGTAAAGGTGCAGCCCTGCAATTGCTTGCTCATACCACTGCTGGCGGAAGGGGCCTCCCGCTATAGGGGGCTCTAGAGAACCCATATACAGGGACTCCACTACTTACGAAGGTTTAACTTATTAACTTTCAGAGATACGAGCAAAACTGTCCCTATGTCCATTTGCCTGTTGGGACCGAGAGCCATAAGTTCAAAACGCCGCACAATAGATGATGGTGGTGGTGGCATCTACATCTGCAGAACATGACGAACCAGTTGCATCTACAGGAGATTATACAACTTTTAAAGTAATTTCCCTTGTATGAGTAGATGCCATACAACATGTCTGGAATCGACAGGATGAACAAATCGATTTGCGAACAGACCTGGAACCCAACTCGTTCGTAAGTGGAGGAGTTCCTGTATTATTATTTTACCTGTTTGACGCTGGCCATACTTTATAGAATAGGTGGCAGCATCCACACTTTACCCCATCAAATGCAACCTTTCGAGCGACTTAATTGTGATTCGTGTTACCCATTTATACGGCTGGGTGGACAGAGGCAGGGGGAGGGTTATTAGAAACTTGATAAACTTGATAATTTTTTCAACTGCTACGCCGGGAGGTCGAAATGGCGATCTCTGGATTGCAAGTTCATTGTGGCCACCTATCCACATCGGCAGTTTCTGCGGGTAATGCAGAAATATCTAATGGGACCTCCTTTGCCAGTACCAAAATATGAGAATAGGTTTTCCCCTTTTTTCTGGCAACAAAACAGTTGTTAAGATATTCTTTGGGTCTTTTGGTCAAGCCTTTTGGCGTCCTCTGGTCTAACACCATTTGAGACTAGGCGCCTTTTGGCGTCCTTTGGCCTAACACCCTTTGAGACTAGGCTGGAAAGAAAGCTGTCTCTGGTGTGGACCAATCGGTTTCAAAGACAATGCATTTCTTATCAGAGTGTTTTTTGTTTGCTGACCATAAGCATTGTGGTTAATGCAGACATGATTCCTTGTAAAAGGCTTCAGTTTGGTGTTTTAACATCTTAACACCTGTTTTGTTGCCAGAAAAAAGGGGGAAACCTATTCTCATAATGCAGAAATGTGTTTTTTTGCCTCTCGTCTCTTCAGGGCATTCCAAGGATAGGTGACGTGAGGGAGCCACGATAATTTTGTAGTCTGTGGGTAGCCCCGTACTATGGACACGGTGACTCTTCATACTCGTGGTAGCGGAGTGGTTGGGAAAGTGCTGCCCCCTACTGGACCGTGCGTAACTTGAAGGGATCTCAAAGGTAGCTTTGCGGTATCCTCTCCCATGGGCTGTCATCGAACACTGCTGTGCGAGAGATGTGAACAGATACTTTGTCTCATGACACGACACCGGTTTAACATTCGGGATCAAATTGTGGGGGTAACACATTCAGGGGTGCCGTTGTAGCGAGATGTTAACTACCTCGCCTGGTATACAGGCGGTCGTGGGTTCGATGCTGACCCTAAAGCCTGTGTATTTGGAGTTTGCATATTCTCCCTGTGATTGTGTTGATTTTTATCTGGGTCCTCCAATTTTTCCTCCACATGTAGAAACATGCTTTTAGAGTATTTGGCTGCTATACAATTCCACGATAAGCCATTGTGTTGAGCTATCATATGTGGCCAGGTCGTTTCTGAAAGAGTTATATATCTCAGCGGGCCTTGCCTGGTAAATACAAATTATTTAGTTTTACGATCAGATGGAAAGATTACTGAAGATGACTTTTGGGAGTTTGTTAAGCACAACACATGTCACAGATGCCGCACAGATGAGGGGGCCTCGCTTGTGACCTGGCAGTGTGTGTGTGTGTGTGCGCGGCGCGCGTACCCCACAGTTTCAAGAACCTGCCACACATGTCGTTTGATGATACGACACGGGAACCCGACCAGGTGTTCGGCCTCCAGCATGACGACACGGGGCTGCTGGAGTACCCCACCAAGTAAGGGGCTGTGCACCTTTCACGAGCTCCGCCAGAGTGCGGTCCGCCGTTGACAAGCTAAAAAAATGAGGTTTATTTTGTTTAACCGGGTGAGAACCAGTAGGGGGAGATGTTTGCTTTGTACGATTCCGATTTTCGAATTGGGCATTATATGGGCCCTGACGCTGGCACACGATGGCCTACTCTTATCCACAGTGATATCCACAGTGAAGCAGACAGCATGTAATATTGTTCTTACCGTTGCAGTAACCTCTGCAACATGCAGGTATGCATGTTGAACTTCTTTCGCACCGTACGTAGCCAACCGTGCTAATCGGAGTGTGGTAAACGCGCTACTTCTGGGACATGTCCTGCGGTAAAATCGGCATCGTGTTTTGTGCTTGCGCACGCAAAGCCCATGCTGCCATTCATGATTGTGTACAAATGTACAGCTGTCTTGTACATCCACTGCTGGATAAGGGTCTCCCCACTCGGTGTGGGTCGTGAGAGTTTTTTCACCATTAGTCGGGGAGCATAGACGTGGGAACAGTGCAAAACTACAATGAATGTTGCAGTACCGCCCGCAACGTAGCCCTATTAATCGCACACTGTTATGTATGGGGGTCACCCTATTCGTCTCTATGCAGGCTCCATTCTGCTTAACGTAGGAGATGCGACGAGTTTTGGCGCAATCCAGGTGGTTTGGTCATAGGGAATCGCAAATACGGCCGAATTAAATTGTTGGCGGGGAAACGGTTTCTGCCAGAGTTTAATAAAAGAACGTCAGAAATTCCAACGTCAAAACTGGAACCTTCTGAGAAGCTGCGTTACATGTGCCTTTTATAGTTTGGTCAGCAGGGGGCGCTAATAACCAATCATCATGTATCCAAACTGTTAAGAGGTCCGAGAAATACGCAGTCGAGTTTAGGATTTCAGCTTTCTACTGAATTTGCAGCACTGGCTCTTCAGAACACATTCCTGCGGAGGGAGCTGGTAGGAACGTTGGGTTGCTCGGTCAATGGCCAGGGTCAATGGCCGCGTGGTGTATTCCACAAATATTCCCGACACTGAGGGTGGGCACAAGCCGGCGTGAGTAGGTTAAACGTTGAGTTTTATAAGGGCACCACGGGGTGAGCAGCCCCTCCCCACCCAGCCCCACCCCTCCCACCCCCCCACCCAGCCCCTCCCCACCCTCGACACCCAGACCCTCCCCACCCAGCCCCACCCAGCCCCTCCCCAACCTCCCCTCCCCACCCAGCCCCTCCCTGCACGACGGACGGACACAATAATCCCCTGTGGGCTGGTATAACCAGGAGATTCCTACCAGTATAACATGTGAATTAGGCCACTTTTCTGCTGCATACAGTTGTAACCAACCCGTGCCCATAACAGAGCACATCACCCCAATACCTCGATTCATCCACCGGCTCCCAATGCAGTCCCAGATGAACTACAGTCCGACATTACCCTCATCATCTTCACGATTCAGCATGGATTCACCCCCCCACCCCGCCTGCCTTTTCCCACTTCTTGTTCCCTGAGCGCTCTGCTCCAGCAATCGTGGTGGCTTCGTCGAAGGCCCCAGTTAACCGAGGCGTTGTGGGTGTCGCTCTTTCCTTTGTTGTCCCTGTAGTTTGAAATTCTCTCGCACCAGCCTCAGACTTCCTGTTTAAGTTTAGAGCAAAAACTTTTCTCTGCCTATGAGTGATCAAGTATGTTTTTTTTTCTTTAGCAAAAAAAAATGATACCTCCGTTCTCCCAATCCTAAACCTGTCCCACTGTTTTCATTCGGTTTCTCGACGCGGTTACAGTTAGACACTGTCTTAACCTGAAATGTAACGCAGTAAGTCCCCGATGTTGCACCTGTTTACATCGTCTCTCAATCGCATTGCCAATTAATTGGGGAACGTAATTCGATTTGAAAAGGCATTGATTCACTAAAACGTTGTTTTGAAGAAAATTAAAAGAAATAAAAGCAATACCAGGTGGTCCCCGCTTTTATGACACAATGGGTTCCTGGAAACTCGTCATAAATCGGATCATCGTAAATCGGACCCTCTTTTCCCATAAACAGTAGGAACAGTATAAGCATCAGGCGTATTGATCAGGGTTTAGTGAGTACAAATCCACAAGAAACACTTGAGAATAATAAAAGCTCCACGCCAAGTCTCACCAGACTTATACTCTGTCCAAATGCGTTCAGAGTTGTCGGAAGATGCGTCGTAAACTAAGTGTTTGCAAAGTGAATCGATCCATGGTGCTGTTATGTAAACGTCGTAAATGTGGAGCATCGTGAATCGGACCATGATAAACCGAAAACCGCCTGTAGTCTGGGCAGTATACAAAAGCCTCTGTTTACATCGCCATACAGGATTCACTACTACCCTCTACACCGTAGAACCCCTCTTAACGGCGGTAATTGGTTCCATGACACCTTGTTGTTAAGTGATTTGCTCGGTACGCAATTATAGGAAATACACCCAAAAAAGTACTTTATAATATTTAAACAATGGATGTTAATACAGAAAGATACTAAAAATATTATAAACGCATAATAATGCTTAATGCATTAATTAATGTTTACTGTACCTACAACAGCCCGTCGTTAACAGGGAAATTGTCGGGAAGTGAAAACATTGGGCTCTATGGAGGCACTAAACTACACTATACACTCCACTACTACACACTCCACTATTATATGCTACTATACACTACACATTGGGCTCTATTGAGGCCCGTCGTTAAGAGGTGTTCTACTATAGATGCAATCTCCACTATTATCTTTGGTGAGTACTCGGAGGCAATTTATATAAATATTTATTTAAACTTGCTACATTACACATTTTGTTATCTTTGTAGTTTTTTACGTAATATTTCTCATGCGAGTTTTTACCCCAAAAAAAATCGCCCCCAGGAAAGTATCCTAACTTTATATAATTAAGTAAAGGGTATAGAAGCTCTTAATTTGCGTTGTTTCACCTACCGTTGCGTTTTCCGGGGACGCATCACCAGCGTAAATAGATGACTCGCCATATTGTTTTGTCATGTGTGTATTGTCCACATTGGTTTTAACATTAGTTTGACAGGCATCAAGTTTATTGATATTGAGACATGGTAACGGCTTGTGGTGTTACAGCAGCCTATTTGTGAATGATATATTTCTACCATATAGCACATGTAATTGGTGTATGGTCGTATCTGACAGGTGAGCCTGTATGTCAGTGCTAGGCATGTTAACGATTTATCCATCAGCCCACAATATATTGAATGACTGTGGTTTAATTCAAGAATACATGTTTTTTGGTTGCATTATTCCATGCGTGTACTGTTAGCATCGTGGGTAGCGGTAGTGTAGTGTTTAGCTCGTTGCGCTATGAACATGGCGACCCGAGTTCGATTCCCGCTCACAGCCAACACTGGTGACGATTATCTGAACCGATCCTGGGCCTCTCCTAGGTCGACTCGGCCTTAAATTAGTGCCTGGTGCGGTGTGTAAACATCGCCACTGGGGAGACAAAGGCGGTCGGGCGTGGTGCTGGCCACCCACCCCCTCGTGTACCGTTCCGGCCTTCATAAGTGATCGCTAACAGCACTTGCGCCTACAGTCTGTTACATGCTATACAGAGGAACTTTGTGTGTGTTAGTCGATATGTGTGTTTGTGTAGTCATGTGTGTGTGCGCGAGTCAGTGTGAGTTGATGTGTATTTGTGTGTAGGTCGATGAGTGTGCGAGTCTGTGTGTGCGTCAGTCGATGTGTGTGTCTCTTTCGCCCGGGCAACGCCAGGTACTTCCCGCTAGTAGGCAATAAACCAGTAATGTTAATACAGTTATGAGTGAATGTTGAGCTTCTTTTCTACCTTACTTAGCCAACTGCGCTAATCAGATGTGCGGGGGAAGGACAACAATGAGTGAGTACTGCTGCTGATGTGCAGAAGCGTTTCGCCTGATGTTTCCCTTCACTCCTGCTCTCCCCGCCGCCAAATCACACCCCCCCCCCCCCCCCCCCCCCCCGCTGCTGCGTGTCAGGATCGCGCGCTTCTCCAGCGTCTACCACCTCTCCATACACATCTCCCGCAACTTCGGTGCGGAAGCCACGCGGATCTACTACATCGGGTTGCGGGGAGAGTGGATGCAGGTTTGTGTTCGCTACTTCGCTCGCAATGTTGTTGAGGAACAATTTGTCGGGTACGCCGCTCACTTCATCGAGCTGGCCTCTCAACAATTGTCACAACCAGCTCGATGTACGTAATTAATATAGCATGATGGTGTACGCACGTACGTACCTCCGATTTGCACGGTTGGCTGCGTATGATGCAAAAGAGGTTCAACGTATCTGGATTGTTGGCTTCTAATCTGACACGTTTTTGTTCCCATCAGGCTCACCAGCACAAGGTGACCCTGTGCACATACGAGGCCTCGGCCAACCCAGCCGACCACAAGGTCGACCTCTTCTCCCCTCAGACCCACTACATTTCCTGAAGGCCTGTGGGCCCGCTACGCATTTGCTACGGACATCCTCTGAGCGGCAGTAAACTACGCGACCCCCCCCCCCCCTTAATTTGTTATGATTCACGTTCCCAGTGATGACATTCCTGCCGCGGTGTCACCGTCGTCGCTGGGAAACGATGTGGCTCCGCTTCAGACGGTCATTGCCGGTAATGCCATGCGCTGTGTTTGTTTTGGATTGGCGCGGTTCGTGCGGATTGTGACCATCTCAGACAGAGTTCTGCCAGTTACACGTCGAGTGTGTATTGTGTTATAGCAGCCTTGCTGGAAGTGTTGATTTAAGGTTTAAGTTATTAATCAAGTTCTAGTAAAAAAATATATATATTTTGCGGTAGATCCCCTTCCCCATTAACCGCACTACTTCCGGGAACTTGCACAGATGGGCATTTTTTAGCGATTTTCTTCACGGATATAAGATTGGCCATAGAGGATGAAAGCGGGGCAGGAAGTGAGAGAGGGGTTGCCCGTGATGGATATGTATGAATGGTTTGATACGGTGAAAAATAAATGTACTACTGGGTTTGCGCAGTTTGTGATCGGGTTGTGCGCGGGGTTGGTCATATGCGTTTCAGTGCACGCGCGGTTGTATGCATGTACGGTTGACAGCCTGAATGGTGGAATGCATTTACGTACGATTGACTGCAACAACGCTTGTGTGGTGGGATGTGTGTGCGTGTGTGTGGTTTATCATGCGTGGTTGACTGAAGCACAGGTGATTGACAATCTACCGTCAAGTTATTTTTCATCCATTCATTCATATTCAGATTTGAGTAAATTTCTACATTTTTGGTAATCTTTCCTTCAATAGTTTTAACTAAGACCGACGTCTTTTTCACAAAGTACTACCAATACGTTTTTGCTCATTTGTGCAAAAAAAAACCCACTCTCTAAAGATTATGGCTAAGACTAGCAGATATGTGACAGTGTTGACCAAATATGCTGTTTAACATCTTGACATTTTTTTCTTTAATATTATTTATCTACTGAACATGGCATCTTGATTTTCAGGCGATAAAGCAAATTATCGTTGAGGTTTGTCTAAAAACGGCTTGGATCAAGTTGCCCAAGGCAAAGCAGAGTTAATATGTTGAAGGAAGGATAGCCCAAAACACATCTCTTGGACCTACACAAAAAAACAGGTTGCGCCAGGCTGTCCAACATGAGATGGAAGTCTTGTTAATGAGAAGCGAGGAACCATGCTCGTTGATTTCTGGAATGCTCTCCAACATATGATTGTCCTCAGGAGTATTTACTTTCACACCGACTCGCGTGGTGTGAGACGACATTTCTGTGAGATGACGTAGTGGGTAGTTGAGGTCTGTGTGTGACATCGTCGCCTCGCCTGTTCAGCGCTGGATTTTTAACGCCAAATTTATTGCAACCCTTTTGATCAATTTGCTCGTTTTTTTTTTCTGGAAAAGTTTGTAATGGCAATGCAACTTTAGTATAGAATGCTATTTATATTGGATCCTGTTTAGGACAATTATTGCGAACCCCTCTGCAAAAAAACACAAAAACCCTTCTCCTGTGACAGACACAGATGGAGGCAATGCTTTTACGCTTTTGAGCTTTGCAAAGCATCACACATTTCAAAGTGAACCGTAAACTATCCCCCATTAATGTCGCCGTACTTTTTATACGGCGTCACGATTGACATCACTTTGGGCACACCTCCAAAGTCGACTTAAAGTCTTCGTTTCTCAACTTCATGTTGGACAGCCCGGAGCACACAGCGGAGGTGTTTCTCCAGAGAACAAGGAGCCATTTCATGTTTTGTGTTATTCTTTAAGCCCGACGTGAAGGTGGCGCACTCCTGTCCTAAAATGTTTACTGCGCTTAAAAGTGCCGCATTCATTGTCTTGCACAGCTACGTCAAAAGGCTCAAAATACAAAATACTTCTCCAATATTCCACCTGTTCCTGCATTTTTCTCTGCCACTTATGGCAATAAGCTTGAGGGTACTTGTTTTAGCGAGTTGGTTGTTGACCCTTTGTGAGTCTCTGGCTGCTTGGAAGGAAACCTAGTTTTTGAAAACCTGGCTTGTTATTTGAATTTTGGATGCAGCAAAAAGTCCCCTGCAGTCTGCTGACTGCGTGTGCGTTTCCTGCTGACGTTTTGGTTGGAGTCAACAGCCACCAGGCCAGTGACACTGTGACTTAGAGTGCCTGACTCAAGCAAAAGGTTGTGAGCGTTTAAAATCCCCGCCGGGGTGCGGTGTGCAAAATCAGCATTGCATTCGTCTGGGGGTTAACAATGAGTACTGCTTTTTTGTTGAAAAGTTAAGTAGGTCAACCCATGGTTCAACTGTCCCCCACCAAAGTAACGTGGAATTTGCAGCATTGGCTTGGAATTGTAAATGAAGATGGGCACTGCCCCCCTCCCTTACTCGTTTGAGTCGGGTGACGCTTCGGCCTTGTTCAGTCGGTGGTGATTCGAATAGCACGTGCAATGTCACGTTACTTGAGGTGTGTACTGATGTGATACAATGTTACGACTTGAGCAAAATTGGCCAATGCATTCCGCTCAAGGCACTTAGAAGACGGAGTAATCAATTTAACTCGTATTACGTCACAGGACAACTTGGCAAGGCCTTCATCCATCCAGCATCGTATTGATCATTGCCTAAGGTGATTATTGGATAGGTCACTGCAAAGGGCCTGTGTTCATGTTTTCTTAAGCACAGATATTTTAAACCTGCTGCTGTAACAACCAAACCGACCAAGGTGGATTAATTTCTTTAAAGTTTATGTCACCAGACAAGTCGTGAACAATGGAAAAAAATGTAATCTCGACAATGAGTTTTTTTTTATTTCTACAATGTGTGACGTTTGTTTGTTCTCTTATAGCAAAAGGCTCCTGTTTACATGATCACACGGCGGTATGATTGGGGATGTCGTAGCCTTACATGCGTGGAAGCCTTAAGCGCTGCTGCCAAACTTGTTTGCACTGTTTATACGTAAACATGCGTGACTGTGTGCTTGCAAAGCCATGAATTTATACACGATTACACGTGGGTGTTTGCAAACTTCCTCCGGACTGTGCTTTTCTCTCCACAGATGTGTATTATTAATGATTTGTAAGAGGGAGAAACGCCGTGGAATAAATGTGCTCTGCAGAAATGACCCATACATTTACTCAAATTATTTGGTGCGGCTGCGTTGGTCGTGGTCCACAAGCACACATAACATCTCGCCGTAGTGGCGAGATCTTAACTCCCTCGCCTGGTATACAGGAGGTTGTGGGGTCAATCCCGACCCTGACACCTGTACATTTGGAGTTTGCACGTCTCTCCCTGAGATCGCGTGGATTTTTCTCAGGGTCCTTCGTTTTTTTTTCCCCCCTCCACATTTAGAATCATGCGTTTAGAATATTTGGCTGAGATAAATTTCCACATGATAAGCCACTTCGGTGAGCAATCATTTGTGGCCAGGTCGCTCCTGAACAAGTAAACCCGTAAAAACAAAGTTTTTCACTATAAATCCTTTATATGCGTGGCGGCTAGAGTCCTCTCGTCCTCTGGCTTGAGATGACTGCCACCTATGGGTCAGATGATTGTCTGCCACCATTAAGCAATTGGTAATTAAATATTTAATTTGTTTTCCCTAAACAGTGTAAAATTTTGGATTTTTTTTTCACAAAAATTAATTGTCACACACAACGAGTCTGTGTGGAAAATGTCAGCTCGATTGGATCACGGGAAGTGGGTTAAAAAACGAGCGAAAGATTTGCACGGTCCTAAGCAAGCAAGCGAACTTAATATAAAGGATTTAAAAATATATTCGCCTGTGGAGGACGCGGGGATCGATCCCGCGACCTTTGGCATGGGAAGCGAGGGCGCTACCAACTGCGCTACTCCGCCACGGCCTGTGGAGGGGTTACGCTCTGGGCTCTTACACTCTGACGTTCAGCCAAAGCCATGAATGCGTTCTATTTGAATATATGTAAAATACATTTTTTTTTGCCTAAAAAGTGTAAAATTTTGGGAATTTTTTTCACGAACAATAATTGTCTGGCACAACGAGTCTGTGTGGAAAATGTCAGCTCGATTGGATCACGGGAAGTGGGTTAAAAAACGACCGAAAGATTTGCATGGTCCTAAGCAAGCAAGCACGCAAGCAAGCAAGCACGCGAACTTAATATAAAGGATTTAAAAAGAGCTATGCAGCTCAGTGGAGCTTAGCTGGTAAAAAAAAAAATCTTCAGTTTAATAGTTTAACAACAACTCAACACGCATCTGTCAATAACATTGCCTTAAAAATAAAAAGTGTTTTAATCCACAAGGTTTTAGGGCATTGGACATTCTTCACAGGACACACAGGCCAGAGAGGCACCTCCTATATGTACTGATTTATAGCAGTACTTGAGAGGTACCTGTCTGGCAAATTTGAACTATGATGCCAGCACACAAGGGCCTATTCTTGCGAATGACAGCACGATGTATTTAACATCCTCTTTGCAGTAGACGGCCGCTGGATTCAAACCACGAATCTCGTGAACTGCAACAGGCGGTGAACACGCCACTGCAAAGAGACGTCACCGCCCTTTTAAGTCGTGCATTGTGTGCTTATTTGTCCTGCTAAACAAATGAATGTGGTGGATACAGCCGATTCAGGCTTGTAACCGGCGAGCAGCGCATTGACCGCATGTAGACGTGGACTCATATCTGCACGCTACATAAGTCTTTTGTGGTGCCTCTTTGCTGTTGGGTCACATTGGAGCAACCTCCCCAGTAATGTTGACACTTCCTGGAATGTGCGGAATCCGTTGGGGCTCGGAAATGTCATCACAGGGTACAGCGAGATATGCTCACCGCTACACTATAAAAATAAAGGCATCCCTTACGTAATACGTTAACATCACTAAACAGTGGGACCAGAGAGACGCCCTACATTGGGAGGTTGAATGGATTCCTCGGTTGCACGAGGCTGTGATTCGGTTAGTGTGTGTCATGAAAATCCAAATCACCAATTATCTATTACATGTCTTTTATGTGCTAATCGCAATCTACAAATATGCCATTTGTACATATTTTAAAAGTGGCGCATTGACCAAGACACATTGTAAATTACTGGCGTAATGTAATGTAGATATCAATTACCGATTTGCTATGCCTCATTTCATTTCTGTGCAAATTCCCACTAAATTTGAAGTGTATCACTTAAGTACCAATTACAAATGGCGAATTTGATCAAATAGCATATTTAAGTTGGAGGTCATTTCAGATGATGCCAATCTCTGCCAGTAATTAAACTAAAACAACGTTAACTTGTGTGTGGTCTTAGTAATGATCATTATATATCCAGCACAAACTGGCCGAGCCTCAAATGCCCTACACTGCTATACTGTACTGCGTTTGGCCAATTCCATGAATGAGATGTTTAGTTTACCCTCCAAAAACCCCATGCATACACGAGGAGATTACGCTTTTAAAGCGCCAGACTCGGAAGTCGTGAAATTAGGTGGGAGAGCGTTCCAGATGTGGGAGCTACACGGCGGAATCTCGGTCGTTCAATAATTAGTTTGAATTTTTTTTTAAAGGAGTCTGTGATTCCTTACGTTTTCCCGGTACTCTTTACATTGGCAGCCCCGAACCTTCGCTGGATGCTCCACAGCCCCCACGTAGCATGTTCATGTATTTTCCATTTCCACGCGCCTGTCTGTTGCGTCGCACGAAACGTGACTCAAGATAAACCCAGCAGGTGGACGTAGGGTACTATTTCGCAAAGCAGTGGATATGTGGTGTGTGTGGAAATGTTGGTTTTGGGAAGAGACGTGCGCAACCTGCAGTTTCCTTACCATCACCGTGCGTGAATGTTTGGATCCAGGCGTGGTGACTCGTGCCATCCACTGCATTAGAGGCAAGGCTTGGTGGATCACGCAGAGGTTTGTGAAACTCCCAAACCAGGTGGTACTGCGAGGTAGCCGTGCGATGGCCGTAAACACATAAAGTACGTAGAAAACTAATCACTAATTGGAAGAACGCACCTTGATATATAGAGAACTGCAGAGCTCGGGCGATTGTTGGTGCTGGCTCACCGCCTGGCTGCCTTTCCCACTTGTCTGATGCCTCCTTCTTGCATCACTGAGTCATGCTGTCCGGTCGAGAGTGAGTGAATATTGTGCGGTGTGTTACAAGTTGAAATTATTATTAGTACAGAAAATTGGTTCACGAATACATCTGTGTGGACATTTGAATGTTGTACCCTCTTATATGTGGGTTGTTTCCGGCATACACTGGTTTCCTCCCACAAACAAAACGTTTGTGAATGAATCTGTGCATAACATCCCAATGCAGAACCTTCCTAACACCTGCTATGTATGGCAAGGTGATGATTTTGATTGGGTCCTCAGATGGTTGTCTCCTCATGGTTGGGGATACACCTTTGCAGATTGTGTGGTCTGAATATCCATTCATCTTGAGGGCTTGGTGTACGTGCTTAAGCTCACTGGCTAGGTCGGAGATGCAACGGGGGCCATATGGTGTAGTGTTTTGATGAGGGAAATCTTCTGGGCTGGATGGTGGTGGGAATCAGGCTTTAGATAGGAATCTGTGTGGGTGGCTTTCCTGTAGACAATGTCCCAACGAGCCATCAGCTCTCTTCTCAATCAAAACATCCAGGAATGGTAGCTTGCCCTCATTTTCCACTTCCTTGGTGAATTTGATGGATGGGTGTATTGAATTTATGTGGTTGAAAAATTGGTTCAGTGCTGGCAAGCCATGTTTATAGAATGTACCATTCCAGGTGGAATGGTACATTCTACAAACAAAATGAAGTTACCCCTATGGGTTTTCCCTTATCACCAGTGGTAGCGAATGTCTCCATGGAGAAATTTGAAACGGATGCCATCCTGACATCCACCCTACGTCCTTCCTTGTGGAAGAGATACGTAGATAACACGTTCGTCATCTGGCCACATGGCCTGCCAGCACTGATAAAAAAAAATGCAACCACATTAATTCCTTCTAATCCTCTCTCAAAGCCTCGCCTCTTCTCCATCGCCCATTCTCTTCCTCTTCCCTCCCCTCGCCCGTCCATTCCTTCACGTGCCTCTCCTACCCTTTTGTGATCCCTAAGTACCCACTATCGCTATCACTCATTCCTAAATCCTTGTACGCCCCTGCAATCTGAATCATTATATTCTGCCGCCGTTTTGTAAGCTGCGTCAAGCGCCTTGAGTGAAGTCGCTCTATGTAAATATAAATTAATAGATTATTTTTCTGTCACACTTGCGTAATTCAAAGCATGCACCTACCTACGCTTCTTCGCGCACTTTTCAGCTCTATTAGACCCATCTTAGATTTTATGATGCCGTCGTCATTATTACCAATCAATGGCAATGGACGGCAGGATACCATAGGGGAACTTAATAAGAAGACTGCAAAGTTGGGGCCCAAGATAAACAGCAAAGAAATTTAATCACCAATGGCAAGTTCTCTGAACGAGCTAATATTGCTTTCGAAGGGACACAACTGGAAAACAGCAGATAAATGTAGACCGAGAGCAATTACATTTGAAGGCGGCCCAACATCACGCACCAGTAGAGAGATGTTAACTACCTCGCCTGGTATACAGGAGGTCGTGGGTTAAATCCCGACCCTGACGCCTGTATATTTGGAGTTTGCATGTTCTCCCCGTGGTTGTGTAGATTTTTACAGTGTGAGGGAGGGGGGGCAAAATGCAATGTAGATAAACAACCAAAGATCATGGCAAGCCTTGACACGCCACGTGTTTTTTGTGCTCGACAATGTAAATGGTAACTTAAACGGTCAAGGGTATTGCTAAGTTACTTCGTTTTGTACTCTCAGTTTTTCAGGATGCATCACTGGAACCATCCAGTGATGCAACTCTACCCACGTGTGCTGGACTCTTCTACGCATTTTTCTGGATTCAATTACTTATAATAATGTTAATTTGAAATGCGCACAATTTGCACTTGCCCGAAGGCAGCGACCCTCACGTGCGGAGCCCAGCTCACAGATCGTCTCAGTTTTGAAAAGGCGCTTGAAGGTAGGTAAAAGAGTCAGCGCTGCGAATGTGGAGGTGGATGGCGTTCCAGGTGGAGGGCCCGACAATAGAGAAATGATGCATGGCGGTCGTGGCCCTGACTCTCAGGGTCGAGACTAACTCTTGGGTAGAGCTGCTGCAGAGAGTTCTGGTGGTGGTTTTGGAGCTCGGGCATCAGGAGGTCCGACAGATATGGAGGGCACTTACTATACTTTGAAAAGCATTGTAAATGGAAACAGCCATCGCCTTGTTATGGAAAATGTTGACTTGTGTTTAGAACTAGAGTCTGTTCATAGAACGTACACGACTGCGGAGTAAATTCCTCTCGATTCTAGGACGCGTTTTATTTATTAATAGAAAGTGACGTTGGCACAAATAGAACATCGGCAGAATGCGAAAAATAACGAAACAGCAATGGTAAATCATAATCGGTTTATTTTGGGTTAGATCACGTGGGTATAACGTTAATTCGAGCTTGTGAACCCTCCACCACCCGACACAGCCAAACAAACCGAGTCGCCTCGTTGGCTGCGTTGAAAATCAAACAACATTTTTACAATTTTATGAGAATAAAAATATATACACAGGCGTAATGAGTCCACCAGACGAAGATTGAGACGACACACACTTTCTTTTCCACACGAGGTCACGGCGCGTTCGACCGCTCCACTCCCAATCCCACCAGGATGTGCCCCGATCGCCCCGCCTCATCCGGTGACGTCAACACTCCCCTCCTGGGCGTTCCCTCTCTCTCTCGCCCCGCCTTTCCTTTGTGACGTCATCTTTAACGAAACCTGGGATCCCGTGGGCATTTCTACCCCCGGATCGCGTAAGTATTAGCACTACACAGCGATCGATCAATGGTGCCGACATCCGATCTAAGCTGAACATCTGGTCAAGCAGACGTCTAGAAACAACACGCAGCAAGTAAATCGATGCAGAGGCAAAAAATGTATAATAAGATGCTGTCAAAATTAAGAGGTGGCATGTATATACATCGTTACTGTATTTGCATTACGACACGAGGGGGGCATTCAGGTTTATATGTAAAATTTAAAACATTTTATTTTAGTTTCACTAAACAACATTTTTTGGCCCAATCGAATTCATCAACAATCTCAAATTTAAGCAAAAATAACCATTGAATGAAAAATGTGAAACGGTTTAACTCGGTGATGCATGTCAGTTATTCATCAGAGAACGCGACGGTGCTGTATGGCAGTAAACCAAATGAAACGTGCTACAGTATTTCCTCGTTATTCGCGAGGTATACGTTCCTGAGATGCTCGTGAATATGAAATTTCGTGGATAACGATATTGGACTACGAACTGAACGCATTCGTCAATAACACTGTGTGGATGTAACATTAAAAAAATCGGTGACGTTTTTCGAAATTGTCCATAGCAAATGAAGACAAAGATCCCCCGTATTGCCTTAACAGATTGTTGGGGCAAGTGCTCTTAGCGATCACCTACGAAGGCCGGCATGGCACACGAGGGGGTGGGTGGCCAGCACTACGCCTGGCCATCTTTGTCTCCCCAGTGGCGATGTTTACGCACCGCACCAGGTACTCATTTGAGGCTGAGTTGATTTAGGGGTGGCCCAGAACCGGTCCAGATAATCGTCACTGTTGTTGGGCGTGAGCGGGAATCTAATTTGGCCCGCCGGGTTTGTAGCGCAGAGCGCTGCTACACTAACCGCTCTCACACACACGGCAGGGGCCCCACTTCCCCACATGCTAAAAGACTGTCGTATTTCAGTCAAACTTACCAAGGGTATTTGTTTAAAAATATATAATTCTAAGAAGTGTAATTTTGCCAAATCAATCGTAAAACAAAAGTTAGTTTGTATCTGTGTGTGTGTAAATTCGCTGGTGAGCGTTAATTCCCTACACTTTTGAGCCGCTGTTGAGTCACAGGCAGCTTCCAGAATTCAACCCTCAAGACCTCAGCAGTCCCAACTCAGCACTCTGACCGCTAAGCCACTTCCTTGACATGGGTATTTCACATACCGTGAGCTTTCCAACCCACTTAAAAAATATATATATAATACGTTACCCTTGATTTGACCTTGCAATAAAAAACTATTGAGTTGCAAATGTTAAGTATGCATGGGCATACTTATTTGAGTTGCATCGTGCCCTTGACACAAATGTAGCCACCGCATTTTTAAACACGCGTCAATTACGAACAGCGAGTCGTCTTGGACAGCACCAACACTCGAACAATTGCGGAAGTGAGTCGTGTACTTTACAATCATTATACAAGCAACCGAAAAACGTTAACCACCCCTCTCTCCACGACGAAGCGTGATGCTGAGCAAATGTTCCAATTCAAAATAATCAAACAAACTGACTACTTGAGGGACATGCAGACTTCATGAGTCGAGGTGCTGAGCGCCGTGGGGCACCGATATAAAATAAAAACGAAGAGATATAACTGCTCAACCCGAGCTCTAAAAACTCTTAATATTTGGATTGTTTCTGTACTGTTCGCCTTTTAGCGTTCTCTGGTCTGACACTGGTGCTGAGACAAAGATATGAAGAAGGCTGTCTGTGGTGGAGGCCAATTCGTTTCAAAGACAGCAGGGCATGTTCGAATGTTTTGCCACAAGTACGTGTGGTTAATGCAGACTTGATGCCTTGCCAAAAGGTATATTTGATGTTTAAACATCTTAACACCTGTTGTATTGTCATGAAGGGTAAAACATATTCTATTTTTCAACATACTCTTTAGTTCTTTCGGTAAAGTCACGTAGATATAAAATCGATTAAATCACGACGTTTCGGGCGCAGCACCAGCGTCCGTCATCAGATGGGACAACCACAGCAAGAAACAATTGCATGAAACACAGCAAGAAACAATTCAGCAATTGTTTATTGCTGTGGTTGTCCCACCTGATGACGGACGCTTGTGTTGCGCCTGAAACGTCGTGATTTAGTTAATTTTATTTTATACCTACGTGACTTTACCGAAAGAACCAAAGAGTATGGATCCCTGCAGTCACGAAAATTTCAAATCTAGATTATTTTTCACATACTTTGATACCGGCAAAAGATATGCCGTAGAAATAAATACACGATTAAATATAAACATGGACATTGACAGAAAATGTAAAAGAGCATCTTAGCTCACTGGGCCATACCCGATATCAACGGACTGATAAGAGGCAGGAGGGAATGTAGTTGCTAGAGATGTGTAATGGGGACGCGAGGGATGCGACGGAAGTTGAATTAAAAGGAGTGACGAGCCGTAGAAGATATTTTCATAAACAAGATACCAGAGATGTGTTTTTGGAAAAATAGGTGTGAGAGAGATTATTCAGACGACAGATACAATAAATATAGGTGATATGTTTCAGAGAGATATGAGATGTATGCACAAAGAAGAGACTGAATATATATTTGGAACAGCTAAGATAGATATATAAAGAGATGTATTCAGAAGAGATATATACGAAATATATGTGATGTATGCAAAAGAGGGGCATGGGCGATAAGAGATATATCCGCAAAAGAGTTTCCAGCCATATAGGAGATGTATTGAGAATAGAGGGGTACTTGTATTCTAATCTAATTTATATTTATAGAGTGCCTTCACTCAAGGCGCTCGACATAAGCTTTCAAAACGATGACAGAATGAAATGATGGTGTAGTTGGCAAGAGCATACACGCATTTAGGAATGAGTGACAGTGCTGGAGGGTACTTCGGGATCACGAGAGGGTAGGGGAGGGACGAGAAGGAGTGGAGGGGCGAGGGGAGGAAGAGAATGGGAATAGAGAAGAGGTAAGTTTTAAGAGAGGAATAGGAGGATGTTCAGGACGGGGACTGTTTAATGTACAGGGGCAGTGTTGAGTCTATGAGCAGTGTTGAGTCTATGGTGCAGTGTTGAGTCTGTGGGCAGTGTTGAGTCTATGGGTAGCAGTGTTGAGTCTATGGGGAGTGTTGAGTCTATGGGCAGTGTGAGTCTATGGGGAGTGTTGAGTCTACGGACAGTGTTGAGTCTATGGGGAGTGTTGAGTCTATGGGTAACAGTGTTGAGTCTATGAGCAGTGTTGAGTCTATGGGCAGTGTTGAGTTTATGGTGCAGTGTTGAGTCTACGGACAGTGTTGAGTCTATGGGCAGTATTGAGTCTATGGGTAGCAGTGTTGAGTCGATTGGCAGTGTTGAGTCTATGGGCAGTATTGAGTCTATGAGCAGTGTTGAATCTATGGGCAGTGTTGAGTCTATGGGTATCAGTGTTGAGTCTACGGACAGTGTTGAGTCTATGGGCACTATTGAGTCTATGAGCTGTGTTGAGTCTATGGGCAGTATTGAGTCTATGAGCAGTGTTGAATCTATGGGCAGTGTTGAGTCTATGGGTATCATTGTTGAGTCTATGGGCAGTGTTGAGTCTATGGGTTGCAGTGTTGAGTCTATGGGTAGTGTTGAGTCTATGGGCAGTGTTGAGTCTATGGGCAGTGTTGGGTCTATGGGTTGCAGTGCTGAGTCTATGGGCAGTGTTGAGTCTATGGGCAGTGTTGAGTCTATGGACAGTATTGAGTCTATGAGCAGTGTTGAATCTATGAGCAGTGTTGAATCTATGGGCAGTGTTGAGTCTATGGGTATCAGTGTTGAGTCTATGGGTTGCAGTGTTGAGTCTATGGGCAGTGTTGAGTCTATGGGTTGCAGTGTTGAGTCTATGAGCAGTGCTGCTCAATGTACAGGGGAAGTTGATTCCCGTGGAGGGGTGCAAGGAGGGAGAAGGATCGAAAACGGGATTGTGCACAAGGAGTAGGAGGGACAGAAATATACCGAGAGTAGATTGGGAATAAGAGGACGAACGGAGGGGACATGGACGGAGATCAGAGAGGCAAGATGAGGTGGGGCAAGGACATGAAGATATTTGTTGACTAGCGTCAGGTATTTCAAAATACCGGTATCGGAAATGGATTCTAGATTTGAAGCTTTCGTGACTGCAATGATTCATATTCTTTTTTTCGGTAAAGTCACGTAGGTAAAAAACATCGGAAATGGAGTTGAACGAGGAGAGGCGAAGTGTGCAAAATTAAAGGGGAGATTGGAAATAACTCGTGCGGAATCATTTTGCTTTTGTTGGAGGGGAGTGAGAGCAGAGGCGTGGAGACAAGAAGATGATAACGCTAGCCCAGATGGGTGAAGATCAGACAATGAGCCAGGAGTTTGGCGGCAGAAGACAGATGTCCGATAGGAGAAAGATGTAATCAGAGATACAAGATGTCGGAGAGATGTGTCCATAAAGCACTTACGCCGCCACATTGCATTCCTCACTCCGCAGGTTGTAGCCACCACCAACTTCCCCACCGCTATGCCAAGCCTCTACAGAGCCCACATAACACACAGTGGGCCCGGTAATCACTCAACTCTTTCACACCGTCGTCTTAACAAAAGGGTGACTTTTATTTATGTTCTCTTCACAACTCCGCGGGGCCTTTTTTGAATGGCGACTTGGAGTGATGTGACGTGCCCAGGCTAGGTGAGTTCTCGAGGCCGGGTTTGGCCCATTGGCCCAACGTGTGGCCAGACCTGGGGCCCCCTCTCTGCACTCTGCACCGTGGCACATCGTAGGCCGTACAAAGGTGCCCGTCATGAAAATAGTTCCTAGCAAGCCTTTTTTTCCGCCCCTGAACAACCGTAACGACACTATAAATAACATTTGTTGCGATCGTTATGTAACATGCCATTACACGTCTATTATATAATCCAAGTACATTATTATATAACTAGGCGAGACCTCAAAAGACAAGGATGGGTCTCATTTGCAGGAGCGACCTAGGGTATTAGTCTGCCAGTAGGGGGGAGATGATTGTTGCTGTGTGTAATCTCAATTGAGTAATTTACTGCGTCAATTTCGAATTCCGCACATTTGTAGCCCGTTCTCCAGTACACAACGGCCATCAGGGGATCTTCAACATCCACTGTGAAGCACATGGCATGTATTATTTGGTAAATACACACTGCAGTATTAACCAGGATGGCCACTGGAATAGAACCGCAAACCTTTGCAAAAAGCGGCGAATGTGATTTTATTATAATAATTTCAACCTGTAATGTGCCACACAGTGTTCGCTCGCCCTCGTAGAGAGAGAGCAACTCAGAGGGCGCAGGGAAGAAGAACCACAGAAAAGTGGGAGGGCACGCGGTGACCTCGTGCTACCAACAATTGCCCAAGGACGCCACGGTGGCTAGGAGATGTTAACTACCTCGCCTGGTATACAGGAGGTTGTAGAATCGATCCCGACCCTGACGCCTGCTGCTGTATATTTGGAGTTTGCGTGTTCTCCTCGTGGTCGTGTAGATTTTTTTCCGGGTCCTCCGGTATTTCCCTCGACATCTGGAACGTGCGTTTAGAGTGTTTGGCTGCTATAAATTTCCACGCGATAAGCCACTTTGTTGAGCTATCTTTTGTGGCCAGGTCGCTTATGAAAACGAGCTATATGGGCTTTACCTGGTAAAAAAATTAATAGTTTAATCGTTAAAATGGTCTGCGGTCCTCTTTATATTAAGGTGTTATCTACTTATTAATGAGTGTTGACATGCATTTGTAATAGCTGAAATAATATATCTGAGGCCAGATTGGCAAAATTATATCACAGTCTACAATCTACTACTGCATATTCACTATAAATAATTTAATTTTCACACTACCGTGGTTTGAACAAAAAAATATTATTTCGTTAAAACGCATTGCGATATTTCACTCAGGCACCAAGTATCTACAAATAATAATTTACAGCCCTTTGTCAATCCACTGCTGGGTGAAGGCTTCCCCACACCGTGTCAGTCCTGGAGGCTGTTTGACGATACACACACCACGCTGGTAGTGGTCTAGCGAACAGCTGGTCCAGGACCGTTTCAGTAATCACCACCGATGTCACGAACCGCTATGCGACCCACCGGTTCAACCCAAGTGCCTAATGGAAATACGAATAATTATTTCAATGTAGATGACATTCCAACCCAGTAATTCTGATACTTTGCATAATAAAACCAAATATGTTAAAACTTGGGCTCATTACATGACAGAGTATTATTTAAAAAAAGTTTGATTTTGGCTGTCCTGTAATGTCCAAATAAATATGAAATCGATCCATACGGATTGATTATGAACCACCCACTGTCCCAACTTCCCCTGTAAAATTCCGTTAGACAGGAGAAGCAGGCATCGACGTGTGAATTCCACATCAAACTCGGCCCCCGCCTACCAATTCAACAAATTAGGAGCACCAATGCAGTCGCTAAACTTGTAAGTACGAAATATAAATAATGCAGTCCTTGCACTTGCTTTCAGGTGACTCTGGAGATGGGCATACCCACACTGTAGTCCACTACAAAGTGCAACCTGCTCTCTGATAGACGAACATCAGCTATACACTTTTAATTCGAGATTGAAAGCGAATTTCATTTGAACTGCTTTTTTGTGTTTAGTTTGTGGTCCTTACCCTCACACCTCCGATTAGCACGGTTGGTTACGTACGGTGCGAACGAAATTCAACATACATACATGAAGGATAAAAAAATAATCTGTCCATTTATAACTAACATGTACTTGTGATGGAGACCATATATTTGCGACAGCAATTCCGTTGTAAAGATGTACAATCATTGCTCACATTTTTATCATTATTTCCATTGCAAATTCAGCTTCAAAAAGTTACCGTCTCTGTCACTTGATGAGAACACTGACTTCGAGCAGCCAGCGTGACGGCCAGCTCAAGCATGATAACTTCTTGTCACATATATTAAGGGACAATTTACTCCCCTTTTTAGCGTTTAAAATAAGACATCGCTGCGCGTGGCTTTCGCCGCGTTTTGCCACGAAAGAAGAGAACAAATCCTGGTAACTGAAACGCATCCCGCCCAGCGTCATTTGCTGACGGAACTTCGCTCCGGCAAGATAGTGAGGTGGATTACGTTGTGGCCGACCAACTGTGTGGAGCTGTAGCCAAGGGCGACACGAATTTGCGCCACGCGCAGGCACTCATCTCTGCGTTCGTAGCATCAGCGTGACGCTTGCAGAGACTTGTCCATTGGTGTGGCTTCCACGGATGTCCCAAAGATCTTGTCCCAGTGACAGAAGTAAGGGGCGAAGTTTTTCGTCGGCTTCTGGTGGTGAAGGTCGTGGTGCGGTGCCCCTCCGTAGAGGCCTCTGGGCAGCAGATGATGAAGCCCCCAGGGCAGGTCGTACCCCGAATGATCCTCGATGGAGAGGTAGACATTGAGCAGCATGAACGTCCACGTGGTGAGAAGGTGGCAGTGGAGCACGATGGGATCGATGGTGGTCCAGAGGCCCACGCTCATGAGCTCCCAGCCGCCCATGTACTGCGTGCTCCACGCAAAGGGCACGGTACATTCATGGTGTACAGCATGGAAAGTCCTGTACAGCCAGCGCACACGGTGGTGCAGTAGGTGCCAGGCAAAGTACTGAAAGTCGAACAGCAGCAGGCAGGCCAGAACGCCGTGGCAAAGCTCAAAGAGGCTGGGTGCCTTCTCTGGCAGGTCGATGGCCGGCCGCCAATACCACTGAGCCACCGTGGCCGGCAAGACGAACACGACGTTGTTGTAGATAGTGAGCGCCACGCAGTCGCAGACGGCCCTCAGGCTCGGCTCCTCTTTGCTCGCTTGAATCTTGTAGTGGCGCAAGTGAGGAGCCAGCCGGCGAGCCACGAGGCCCACGGCGGTGAAGAGCAGGCAGAACACGTAGTAAGCCATCACGGACAGGACGGCGGGGAAGATGGGCGAACGCAGCGTGTGCCCGTAGTTCAGGCGGAGGACGTCCCACAGCGGCTGCAGCAAAGACTCTTCGCCTGTCCACGATTCCAGCAGCTTGCAGAGTCTTGCCGACTGCACGACTTCGAGCATCATCTGATGACCCATCTCCACTCGTCCGGCAATGTTGCGATTTACTGCGAGCTCTCGATAAATAACACTATCATGCAACGAATTGCTGTGTGCATTACCTATACCCGGCAGTTGACGTGCATGCATATATTGAGATATTGTTAATTTTCACGCCTTCGATATTTAAATACAGCTCGCAGTTAAATAGGAAAATTAAGAGGTACTTTTAAAAAATGTCTATCTATCACCGATGTAGCGTTTTGGAGGCGGTGTCGCACAAGTCGAACGATGTCCTCAAAAGGTGCGGGTCATGAAGGGGGACCTATATAGCCCCAGGAGGAACCAGTGACGAGGTTACATTGAAACAGCAAGGAAAGCAGAAATGTGTGCAGAAACCCGCAGACCACAGTCTAAAATGCACGAGTCATGGAACCTTTCATGACGAAAGTGAGCTTCGTATAAGTCACGTATGCGATAGGGGTAGATTTAACCCAAGCAGCCACATCTCCGTGCATGGTTTTGGTGATCTGTGCCTAACGCCTGCCCCTCTGCACGCTGGGGGTAACGCTGGGTAGGCTCCGTGGATTTTCATGCAATGCAAAAAAAATATTTTTGTTTTTCACGAAAGGATTATTATAAAATTGTAACGAATTATTACCGTAGTTTGTTCCAAGAATAATCGATTTTCTCCACGAAACATACCAGCGCCACATTTGATAAAAGCTAAGTGCGCCCCTATTTTTGGATTTTATTTTTTCGTTTTGCACGCCATTAAAGAACCATAATAAATAATAGCCTATTTAGTTATCATTCCTGCATTTGCTATCATTGTCATTAAGTCACAGGGACAAACGTTTGAGTATGTTGCACTATATCTCAACAAACCTGTTTTTCCCCATGAACAACTTTATTATGTTGCTTTGTCAACATGAAAGTGCCCATTCAACTAAATTCGTCGCAAGGAACACTTTTGGGAGATGGTCGTCAATTTACATCAAATGTGATATCCGTAAGAGAGGTTTTTGGGGTTAGATCGCCACCACCCGACACAGCCAACTAGTAAGGGTTCAAATCAAACATGCCAATTCGTCACGGTGTGCTGTACTAGTGACGAATTGGCATGTACTGTTTACGTGACAACCCTTATTAGTTGGCTGTGTCGGGTGGTGGCGGGTTTTAACGACCATACTCCTCCACTCGCCAGACACTCACCTAACACGACCCTCATCAGACACCTCGCCACTCCCAAAACACCAACACTCACCACCATTCATCCACCTGACCCTCACCTCTCGGTAGACACTAAACAGAAACTACTCTCCTGAAACTCAGCAGACATTACCCACGACTCGCATGACACTCACCAGTTACCAGCCTCATCGTTCACACCCATCACACCCACACACATATGACAAATAAAGAATTTGTAACACCCTACACTACACCCCCACACCACACGGCGAGACCACATCACTCGTGAATATGTAGTGACATAAGAGGGGAGGGGCTGCTGGGGGCTCTGGGACCCTAGGCAACCCAGACGCTTAAGCCCCTTGGCGCCAGGCGCTAGGTTCCCAGGCAACCCAGACGCTTAAGCCCCTTGGCGCCACCGACGGGGGGGGGGGGGGGGGGCTGTGTGTGCTCTGTGGGATATCTGGGGGCGCACTCAACCCCACCCCTCGTTGGAGACGAGGCATAAAAGGGCAGCTCCCTGGACGATCGAGGCCAGTTGTAGCTCAAGACCCAAGACCAGCCATCTCAGGACCCTGGGATGCTGTGAGAGCCAGTGGTGGGACTCTGGAACTCCCGGCTCTACGTCCTTGTGAGGGCGAGTTCCAGAGCATAGCCAGAGTAGTGGATCTAGGCTGTGTACCTAGGCTGTGTACCTAGGCTGTAACAGAGTATCAGGACTGTTGGAGTGTTGGATTGTAATAAAGAAGTTACCTCTACAAGTGTCTACTGTAACCCATTACATTTGGAGTCAGAAGTGGCCATGGAGACAAGACGGCGATGTCGAGGAGCAAGCAGCGATGGGGCGGCCAACGCCGGCCGACAACGACGCCGCACCGCCGGCCGACAGCGACGCCGCACCGCCGGCCGACAGCGACGCCGCACCACCTGGCCAGTGAATTAAGACATGTACATCGGGCCCTCAGGATGAACGGATACTCTGACCGCACCATCTGCCAAGCTGTTTCTCCCACCATACAGAAACAGCCACATGAAACTCCGATCAAAACTATCACGTTGCCATACATAGCAGGCGTGACCAAAAAGATCTCCAAAATTCTAAACAAACATAAGATCCAAGTCCGATTCAGTACAGTACATAAAATCCGTGATCTAATTCCATCTGTGAAAGATGTCATTCCTGACTTACAATACCCTGGAGTCTACAAACTGAGTTGCAGTTGTGGTGATTGCTACATTGGAGAAACGAAACGTCATATCTCTGATCGTGTCCGCGAGCACAAGTCAGATCTGAAACACGGCAAAACTGATTCTTCCGCCGTTGCCGATCATTGCTACAATGCTGTGGGCTCTCATGAAATTGTCTTTTCCGAGACCAAGGTGCTCTGCAAACCTCCTGGCTACCATCAAAGGTTTGTACACGAAGCCATCCAAATATACAAACACAGACATAATTTCAACCGTGATGATGGGTACAAACTTAGTAATCATTGGAAAGATGTTATTAACCATGCAAAAAAGATTTAACTACACATATTTGGACCATCTTATTTGACAGGCACTATTCTTCAGTTTAACACACTGGTTTTCCTACTTTAAGTTTTACCACACATATTTTGGCAAATCTAGAATTAATCCCAGCAACGTAGCAAAAAGTGCTGTTTCATCTACATAACAAAGGCTCAGTCCCATTCACAGCAGCCGCACCTTTACATCAGCCGCACCTTAACAACTCTTAGAACCTCCCAGTTCAACCAGTCTACACAACAAAGACTCATTCCTGGCAGCGGTTTCAGCCTCACCACCTCTACATAACAAAAGGCTCAGTCCCATTTACACGCATCTTTACATCAGCCTCACCTTAACAACTCTTTTCAACCAGTCTACACAACAAAGGCTCATTCCTAACAGCGTGCTTCAACCTCACAATAATAATATCCAGGGCCTACCTTGGCTCCTCCCACCCTCAACCAGTATATATACAAGGACTGCTTTCTTGGAATTTCTCTTACTTGATACAGCTATCGTGCTGTGACGGTTCCACCTGAAGACGGAGGTTGGTGTTGCCTCCGAAACGTCGTGATTTTTATTTTATTTTACTTTTATTAATTTAAATTTTAAATTTTGACCATCATTCTAACTCCGTACTACAACAAACAAACATGTCCAAACCAAAAAACTTTTCGATATAACCAAAATAAAGCCATAAGCAATGTAACAGTGATCATAGGAACTGTGACCGAAATTTCACCATAAACGACATAAACAACATGTACCACCAAACTTTGTAGCCATAGCTGGCTGCATAAGTCACTCCACAACAGCACGGGAGGATGTGGATCTGAGTGGACTTGCCGATGACTGGTACCAGCGGTGTCAAGATCGGCCTCTGTGACAGAGGCTCGTGATGGACGCTGCTGTTGGATGCAGTCACCCTCCAGCAACAACGGAGGGCAGAGGAATGACACAACAACGAGCGGAGCACCGGGCGGCTAAAATACAGAACGTTGGCAGAGTGGGGGGTACAGCTGGTGGTGCATGTACCGGCCATCTCAATCAGCCAACCCATGGCACCTGGGTCTGTCCCGAGACCTCCTGTTAGCGAGCCTTCGACACTTCACGTGATAGCTTCAAAGTGCACCACCAAATGCCACGGTGTCTGTCTGTGAAGGTGGTTGTTGCCAGGTGGTTTCCTTGGACGGTGTCGGTGATAGCACAGGAGGTCGTCGCCTTTGATGGAGTAGCTGCTGGCCTCTTCCATTCCAATGTGGGTTTCTTGCAGCCAAACTATATCAGCAGTGTGTTGGACAGCAAGGACTTCAATGAGGCTGTGCTTGGCTGCCGACAAGTCTTCGACATTGAGTTGGAGGATTCGGAGGGGCTGGTCCGACTGCAATGTAACCTTGAGGCGGTTTCTTCTCGGTTTTGGGACCTTGACGAGGATTCGTTGAGACTCTTCTCACGAAACTTTTTTTAGAATTTAGTCTGCTTGTAGCAAGGCCCCAATAATCAAATATGTTCAAAATGTTCCGCCCAATATATTGCTATAAAAATGTTTTAAAAATAATAATTGCGATACTATGTAAATAAAAACAACAATTTGCTAAACCTTGGCCACAACATCTGGACTTGTCTTCATATAACAATGCATAGATTTCTGTTCATATGATTGTGGTTATGGTTGTACTTTATATCTCTGCCATTACATACAATGAAACGAGAAAAGGTAAAAAAATAAAAAATAAACATCAATGTAATACAATACACTATTAGACATTATTGTAAAAAATAAATAAACAGGACCCTGCGGGGTGGGCTGGTAGGAATAATACTTAGTACCGGTACAGGGATATCGACCGGGTATAGAGGAGTTAAAGAAAAAATTACTGTATTCTAGTGTAACGTTAATTAAAAGTGTTTGTTTTGACAAGAAACGCTGTGAGATTTAAAGACTCGTAGTCTTTCATTTCCAAACGATCAATTTGTTGAGTCCTGGGAATAGCTCCAATAAATATCTTGTGAGATAATTGCGATTGTATCCCGGTGCCCATCAATAGCTCTGAGCACCATGCTGATTGGCTCGTGGGGTGCTCCCCTTCCGGGAGGAGCGATGCGCGCCAGAGGCTCCGAGTCCCCGCCCTCTACCCCGCCCCTTAGCAACGCACCCGGCTTAAGTGGTGAGGGCGGCGTGTGGTGATCGTGGTGATCGTGGGTGGCCGAGGAGTCGTGTGGACGCCGCTGTGTCGACTGTCCCCCGTCTTCAACTACTTGGGGGCGAAGTGGTTGTTTGCAGACTTCACGGCGACCAACTTCAGCGAGGAGGCGCTTTTATCTCAGCGACGCCATCAAATCGACGATGCCGTGACGACAAAACGCAGCGATTTTCGCGGGAGCCGACGACTTGGTGACGCGCAGTTGACAGCCCCCCCCCAACACCACCCTCAACACCACCCCTCCCACCAGCCCTCACCACCTCCCCACCACCCCCCACCACCCCCCAACCCCACCGCCACTACCCCACCACCCCCCACCACCACCTTCTGCACTAGGCCTCACGAAGCCTCCCGTACTAAGCCTCGCGAAGCCTGCTG